GATAACACATAGTTATCATCGGAAAAGTTGACCAAGACAGGTTAAATAATTTAATAAGGAACTGCTTGTAATTATGTTATTTACAAGGTATGACAGAGGTTTGAGGAAGAAACAGAAGCTGATCTCAGGGAAATGGACGGGTTTGGGTGACCCCTGGAGCATGGAGTTTGAATTATGGAGATGGGGGGCTGAGAGGTGAATATGGACTAGAGGAGAACAAGATGACTTTTCACCTCAGCACATTTAACTTTTAAATCCAAATAAACGTCTCGCGTTACTGGATCGTTGCATTATAAAAGAAAAAGGACTAATCCCGGTCAGTTTCGGAGTGTTGGCAAGAGGGCTGCCCTCTCCTCACCGAGGAAAAAATATTGCCAGAAAAATAAGTTACAAATGGGAAAAAGTGTATTGAAAAATAAAGCTGTGCAACTCGATGGGATTTTTTCCCCCTTTCCCTTCTCTCTCGCTAAATTAATTATATCAAACATCTGTTCCCATGACGTTGTACTCAATGCCACACACACTACTGAATGATGCCAACCCTGCCTCGAAGAGCAACAACACACCTTTTTCTCTTTCACAAATATCCTCCGGTAATAGGGATCTCAATTAGCAGGTAGCTGATTTACTCGCTCAGGTAAATCAGAAGTAGGTGCGCTCTACTGGTTTACTCTCCCCCAACTCCCCCACCCCCCCCCACGCAAGGGCAAAATACAAACTTCGTAACTCGCGTGGTAAGAAAAGCGTAAACTTTCTCACCTGTTTGGTCATTGAGTCTATTAGACGAACATACAGGTCCTGCTCTGTCCTAACTCCTGGGGAGGGAAAGCAGAGACAAATTCCGGTCAGGATTTCGGTAGCGAACCACCCCAATTCCACAAGGAAAGGATGAGGTCAGGCAATTAACCGCGGCGGGCAGGGATCGGCCCCGCGCCGGCTCAGAAAGAAAATTAAAAAAATTTAAAAAATAATAACAATAATAATAATTTTAAAAATCCAGATATCAGCTGGTGGCGGAGTTATGCTCCCCTCCTGTTCCCGGTGGTTGGGGTGCCGTGCCCGGGCCAGCCCCCCCCCCCGCCCCCGGCCGGGTTGTGCCGGCCCCACGGCCCCGGGGAACACGCGGGACCCCCGCGCTGGGGCTTCCCGGCCCCCCGCGGGTTTTCCGCGCCCGAGGAAGCGGCTCCGCCGGGCCGGGGTTCTGCTCTGCCCGCTCACCCCGTCCCAGTGATTACCATTAATTCCCCCCAAAAAAAAAAAAGTGCCTTAAAAGTGCCGCTGTGCCCGAGCAGCCATCGATCCCCTTTTTTACTTTCCACTTCAAGCCCAACCGGTTAATCATGTGAAGTACCATTGACTTATCGATCCTTTACGTTTTGTTTTCCTTATATGCCAAGGAAAGAGCCGTGTTTACACGCGTGTAATTTTAATCTCGAAATCTTTATATCCTTCATCCTCCTCCCTCCCCCCCCCAAAAAAAAGGCCTCGAAAAGGAACATCAGACTTTTCTGCGGCACACGGAAGCTCAAAAATGAGAGAACGACAACTTACCATTGCTATACAATAACTGAAGTTTATAATGAATCCCATTGTTAGTTTTTTCATTGTTTGGCTCCTGCAAGTAACGATAAATAATTACATTTAGCATGAAAAATATCGCCCTCCTCCTGACGCACATTTCTCTCGTCCCTGAAGCGGCTCGGAATTAACAGTTTGAAGAAATTCAGCCCACGGTCACTTTTTTTTTTTTGTGGAGCGCTGATGATGTCATTAGCTCGGTGCAAATATGTCATGTTTTGCCGTTTTCCCGGTGTTTAATATATAAGTCGGGGACGCGGCGATAAGTTTCTAACCCCGGGGTCTATTCGGAGCGGCCGTGAGACCGGGGGGACCCGCACGTGGCGTGGGCGCCGCTGGAGTGCCGGGGAGGGCTTCGAGGCTGGGAATGAGCTTGGGTCAATGAAATCACGCTTAAAAAATTTAAAAAAAAAAAAAAAGAAAAAAAAGAAAAAATATAACAGGCAGACTTACTTTCTCTTTCTCCACAAAGTCCACAAAAGCTGTTCTCTCAATCTCCACCGGCTGTCCCTGCCTGTCGTACAGAGCTAAGACGAAGTGGAAAAAATTGGATTTTCTGAGATTGGAAGGCGGCTGTTTCTCGAAATGTGCCCGAGCCAGCCCCACGCCGCTGCGGGAGAAAACAAGACAAGGCGTGGGTGAGAGCGGCGGGAAGGGGCGCGCAGGCTCCGCGGCCGCGGGGAGATGCGGGGGGATGCGGGGAGCGCGGAGCGGGGAGGCTGTAACTGATACGGGGCGGGCGGGGGGGGGGGGGGGGGGGGGGGGGGGGGGGGGGGGGGGGGGGGGGGGGGGGGGGGGGGGGGGGGGGGGGGGGGGGGGGGGGGGGGGGGGGGGGGGGGGGGGGGGGGGGGGGGGGGGGGGGGGGGGGGGGGGGGGGGGGGGGGGGGGGGGGGGGGGGGGGGGGGGGGGATTTACGGCCGGGATGAGAAATACAGGAGGAGAAAACCGCCGGGAGAAGATTTGGCAGACGTACCTTTGGGCGGCCGTGTTAGCATCCACTACCCCAGCAGTATGCATCCATGAGCGGACCGGGTTCATCCCACTGCCCAGCGGTTCTTCTTTCATGGTCGTCCCACCTCTTGGTATATTTTCCTGAATCCCAAACATTAAAACAAATTTGGGCAAAACCAGCTCCTAACCAAAAGGGGTTAAAATTGAGGGAAATGTCAGATACGGGGTGGGTTGGTTGTTGCTTGATTTTCGCTCTCTCTCTCTCCTTGGCGACTGGAATATAAGAGATGACTTTACTCCCTGTGATCAGTAGGAGAAAAGCTCAGTTCAAGTCTTGCTTCTTTCTTCAATCTGTCCTGTATTGGCACGACATAAACAATTTACTGAGTACTTCTGTGCGGCGAGTTGGATGGCGTTCCAGTTTGGTGGTTTAAAAAAAAAAAAAAAAAAAGAAAAGAAAAAAAAAAAAAAAGAAGGAAGAAGTATAACTGCAGCCGGCGACACTGCGAGGTGGCTTTTTTTTTGGGCGGGGGAGGGGGGGAAAAAAGAATAAATATTTTTGTTGTTGTTGTTTGCAGACGCGCTCAACGTGGTGTCATCCTAGTAAAAACCGTCTCGGAAAAAAAAAAAAAGCTTCAGGACACTGCTGAATCGACCACTTTCTGGCAAGGCTCTCCTGCTCCAAAAGACAAATAAACGGGGAAAAAAAAAAAAAAATCCTGATTACCGCGGAGGTGTTCCCGGGCACACGGGAGAACGGGGCGCGGGCCCGTGGCGTCTCGCGGAATGGACGGAGGCGCGCAGAGCCCGGCCCTCCCTCCCCGAGGAGCGCGCCCCTTCCCCGGGAGTCGGGCCCCCGCCACCGCGGGAGAGGTGGCGTCACTGATGACGTCGTTAAGGGGCGGGCACACCGCCTTATATGGAGCGTGGGGTTCGGTCGCTCGCTGTCGCGATCCTGCTTTGCCCCGACCACCCCCCCCACACACACTCCTCCCCGACGGGGGGGGCAGGACCGCGGCGCAGAGGGGTCCCGAGATCTTCTTGCGAGTGGCTTCGAGGAAGCGGGAAGGGGGTGAAACCCTCCTGGCGGGGATGTGACCCGCGTGGAGGGTCGTGGGGAGGTCTGGGGATGGACAAAGGGTGGGATGCTGGATGCGCCCCTCCACGATCGCTTCTCTATAAATGCACGGGCGGACATGCCCAGAAATACCGATATTTGAAGACTTCATGTGCACACACAAATATTTCCACAGCTATAGGTCCGCCTTGTCCATCTATATATGTATATATACTTCTCCATATAAATATATACTTATATATATTTATATACATTTATATTTTTATATATCTCCTTCTCAAGTGATGAGCCTTTTCCGCTCAGTGTGGGCTAGGACTTCCTTTCCCTTTTTTTTTTTTTTTTTTTTAATTTTTTTTTTTTTTTTTTTTTTTTTTTTTTTTTTTTTTTTTTTTTTTTTTTTTTTTTTTTTTTTTTTTTTTTTTTTTTTTTTTTAAATTTTTTTAATTTAATTTTTTTTGTATTTATTTTTGTGAATTGCCCAAGTCCCTGTGTTAATATTTCACCGACTCGGTGAAAATCAGCATTAATATCTGAATGAATCGGTGAAAATCGAAAGTCCGATTTGTGTTATCAGGATCCCCTTTCTCCAAGGGGTGAGGGAAAAGGGAAAAAAAAAAAAAAAAAGATGTGTTAGAAAGCAATCTATTTTGCTGGTGTTGGGGGTTAATGACTATTGCCAAAGATAAGTGAATTATCAAAGCTGTTGCTCTACCCGATCTCAAAATCCATTACATTGCTGGCCGTCTAATTAAATACGTAAGTATAATAAAATCATATTTTATGACTATTTGAGGGTAATGAGATTAGTCTTTAGAAGCGATCGCCACATATTAAAGATGCCACTGTCTATAGAATGTTAATAACCTTAAATCAAAGTGTATGGAAACTATTCATGAGAAATTAAAAGAAAATTCCTGTATTCATAATCAGCCCGGAGCTTTTGAGGTACAGTAGAGCAGATTACAAACCCAAACACTTTTATCGCGCAGCGATACCAAAGTTCCCAAACAATGCGATGCTCGCGGTGGCATTTGGTGGCACGAACACATTTGGGGATCTCGAGCGGGCGCCGGGGGCCGCCGATCTCCCCAGCCCGTAAAATCCTCCCTCCTAAAAATAAGGTAAAAAATGCCCAACACCGCTATAATTGTAAGATATTTCCTCAAATGAACAACGCCGAAGTTGGTGCTTCCCCTCCGCTAACGAAAGCTTAAAATCATTTACAGTATCTTTAATTCAGATTACACGCGCCAAGGCGATTTAAATCTGATTACCAAATTAGAAGGTTTTAAAACAAATCCTTTTAAATCTGATACTGTTGACTAAGGAGGGGAGAAAAAAAAAAGTTCCATAAGCCCATCACATAAGGTAACGATCCTGCCCCAGAAAGAAAGGGAGTTTTAAACCTTTTTGACAACAAATGCAGCTGCCCCACTATTTTGGACGATATTAAGCGAAAATGAATGCAAATCTGTGTTCAGAAGCCATCTGGCCAGGAATGGGGGAATCAGCTGCTCCTCACAACAGGCTCTGAGCCTGAATCTATTTCAGCTCATTTTCTAGATCATCTGGTCCTGCACCCAAAGCGTGGAAAATACGGTCTTTATCATTCACCAACTTTATCTTTTTGTGTGTGTGTGTGTGTCACTGTGGCTGGAGCTGCCGGCGGCAGGAAGCCCGCCCGGGATGCTCCTGCCCGCACCGCACCGCCCCGCGCCGCCCCGCACCGCTGCCAGGCCGGCATCCCGCTCTCGACAGGTCCTCCCGGTTCTCCCGGCCGGGGAGGGAGGGGAGCAGAGCCTGGGCATCCCCCCCAGGCCCGGGCCCGCTCCCGGGATGCGGGATCGCGGCCCCGCCGCCGCCGCACCTTGCGCGGGGCAGGCGCGGGGAGCGGGGCCTCGGCCGGCGCCGGGCGGGCAGGGGGTGTGCGCGGCTGCGGGGGGCGGCCCGAGCCCTCCCGGCTCCGTGGCCCTCCTCCTCCTTTTCCACCTCCTCCTCCTCCTCCTCCGGCGCCAAGTCTCCCTTTTGTGTGAATTTACGGGGTGAGGCTTCAGTGATCCCCCCGCAAATTTGCATTTAAATAGCGACATCAAGCGATGCGCGTGCCACACACCAGCGGGCTCCCAGATGTCACGGCGGAGCCGCTCAGATGGCCGCAGCCCAGCTGTCCCCCGGCCCGGCCTCACTCCGCACCCCCCGCGCCCCGCACCGCCCGTGCGGGCAGACCCCCGTCGCCGCCTCCGAGCGCGTCCTGCTGCCCCGCACCGCGGCCGGACACCGCATTCCGCGCTGCGCGTGGGTTAAAATTGATACCCTTATCCTGCCGCCTTCGTAGTAATGCCTTAAACTTTATTATTTTATTTTTTCCTCCCTCGGGACAATCCCCTAGGGACTATTATCTTAATCATTTCACTTTTTTTTTCCTTTCCTTTTTGTTGTTATTATTTTTTTATTTGTTTCTCATTTCACGGTTTGATCACAGAAGTTTGAGCGCGTGATTTTGGTAGTTTCTGTGTTTCCTCGGCCGTGGGCCGGCCCCGAGCTGCCCAGCTCTGCGCTTCCCACCGCACAAACTTTCCCAGCGGGAAGTTGCGGTGGGAGTGGGGAGTGGCAGCTCCGGCCCTGCCCTCGGGGGGCTCGACCGAGACCCCGCAGCTCGCCAAGGTCCATACTTCAATTTTATTGTTGGAAGGCGCCTTCCTTGCTAACGCGCCGGGTTACACCGGGTGTAATTTATGCCCGGTGTAACCAAAACAAATCTCTGCCAACCCCCGCGCTGCAGGAGGGAGAAATGGCTATTTTCGGGTAAATCTGTGGTTTCGGGTGTTTTCAGGCACGGCGGCCCCACGGCCGGTGCTCCAGGGCGTTAATTCCCGGGGAGGCGTTGATGGGAGCGGGGGCGCAGCGCCGTGGGGCCCGGCCCGGCCCTTGCGCAGGGGGTCGCGCATCCTGCGCCCAGGGCAGAGGCCAAGCCGGGCCCAGGAGCGGAGCAGAGCCCAGGACCGAGCGCTGCCGCCAGTCTTTTGGGGCACATCGACCTCCACCGCCGCCAGCCGAGCCCCTCAGCGCCCCGCAAAGGGCACAGGTTGCGAGAAGGCCGCCCGCGCAGAGGTGCAGTACCCCCGCGCTGCCCGGCTCCGCTCGCCGCCCGCCTTTCGGCATGGATTCACCCGCTTTGGGCCGGTTTCAGTGCTTGGATTCACATTCCTGACCATCCCGAGCCCGCTGGAGAGCGGACGTTGCCAGCGGTGCGGTACCGCCGCCCGCATCTGCCGCCCGCCCCGCCGGGATGGGGAGGGGGCTGCCCCGCTCCGCGCCCCGCGCAGGCACCACAGGGCGGGCACCGGCTGCGTGGGGATGCTGCGGGACTCAGGGGGGCTCAGAGGGTCTGTCCCTGCTCTTGCCCGGGTCGGGCCTCCCTGGGCCTCCTGGACCGCCCGCGCACCTCCCGCGGCCCTGCGCGGCCCGCTGCCAGGCTGCTCGGCGGCGCGGTGGGTCCTGCTCGGGGTCACGGAACTCCCTGTGGGTGCAGGGCTGTTTTACCCAAAATGGTGCTCGGCCCCGCGCTCCTCCCGGCGCGCTCCCGTGGCCCCTCGCCCCGATATTGTTACACCAAAATTAGTTCTTAAGGTTAAAAAAAAAAAAAAAAAAGGAAGGGAAAAGTAGAAGAAAAAGAAAAAAAAGGCTTAAACTTCCGCCGTGCTCGGACGGGAAAACTCCCCGCGGGCGCTGCCCGGCTCCCGAAGGCGCGGCCGCGGCGGGCGCGCTGCCCTCCCGGTGCCCGCGGGATGCGGGGCCGCGGCCCGGGGGTGCTGAGGGGCCGCCCCGTCTCTGCCCCCCCGGGGCCGCGGGGAGGGGGTTTGAGGGGGCTCGGAGCCGCTCGGGCGGAGGGGCGGCCGCCCCCGCGGAGCAGCGCGGATGCGCAGCCGGGGGCCGCAGGGAGCTGGCGGCCGGACAGGTCCCGTCGTGCGGCGAGAACAATATAAACTGACTCCAACTGAACAAACAAGGATCGATCAGATAATTTCAGATATTATAATTGGCTTTAATTAAACACACTTCGTTCTAATTAACTCTGAAATTTTAGCATGCTTTGGGACGTTGGTGTCTGATTTGATATTGTCAGTCCAGATGTCCTAATAAAATTCAATCCTCCACTCAAGACTTCAATATTCACTAAGAACAAAATGCAAATTAAATGTAAAACCTAAAGTATCGCCAAAGGTATAATCAAGAAAGGTGTCTCAAAACTTCTCACTTTTTATTACGCAGTAGTTAGAAAATGCAGATTACATCCTAACAAGACCTCGACTGAATAATAGAAACCTTAACTCTTTCGTGGTCAGGGCTCGCTCTGCCCTGCAGGGATCCGGGAACATCCTCCGCCAGCGCACGGGAAATGCCCACGGTGCGGGGCTCCCGCACGGAGCGGGCGCGGGGAGGCGGCGGGGCCCCGCGGAACGGGCTGCTCGCCCCACCACACTCTCGGAGCAAAACTTCCCGCTGTCACAGGCACTTCTGTCCCCGGGCGACCAGCAGTGCAGCCCCGGCTCGGCCGGGTGACCACATCCCGCTCCCGCACGGTAGAGGTGCGGGAGAGCCCCGGGAGCGGGGCCGGGACGAGGTTGGGGCAGCGCAGCGCTCGCCCATCCGGCGGGACAGGAATGCCCCGAGAGGGGACACACCGGGCCGAGGCCCCCGTCCCCTCGCCCCAGAGCTGCCTCGCAATTTCCCCGCAAGCCACGGCGCTCCTGTAAATAATTAAAGCCTCCCGAGCGGGTCGGCGGCGCGGGATGCTGCCGGGAGCCCGCGCGGTGCCTCCCCGGCCGGCGGCTCCCGCGGGGGTCCCGGGATGCTGCACCGGGGGACCCCCGAGCTGGGCTCGGCGCCAGCCCACCGCCTCGCTGCGCTCGCCGAGCTCCAAAAGCCAGGCTATTCCCACATTAAACATTTGTATGTTTTCCATGCTAATGGAGTCACTTAAAGCTGTTGCTAATTTAACTTTTTAAAAAGGCCACAGCGTGGTGATTTGCATTTTCTTTAGGATATTGAAATGAAGGGAAAACTGCTGGGCGGTGAGGCTGCCCCGAGCGTAGCTGGGGGCCATGCCGGAATGAAAACCGGGAAAGAAAAGAAGAAAGAAGGAAACCGCCGCCTCTTCCCGACTGTTAATAAGCAATTTGTCCCGCCGCGATTTACATTGCAAAGACAAACGTGTCGGGGCGCCCGGCCCGGCCCGGGGCCCCCCGGGCCGCTCCCCGGCTCCCGCTTCCCCGACAGCATCCCCGCAAACCGCGCTCCCGCTCCCGCCCGGCGCTCAAGTCCCGCGGCCGCGGGCGGCCAGCGGGTGGCCCGGGAGCTCCCCGTGCCCTTCGGGCTTGAATTTCCAATGAATTTCCGAGCGCCCCGGTTTGGGTAAACAACAAGTGCTGGGATGGCCGTTTCCCTCGGCAGATCCCCTCTCGCCGCCGCCGAGGCTCTCTAGCGTGGGGACCGTGTGCCATCTACAGGACACTGCGCGGGCGGCCGCGCTGCGCGCCCCCGGCCCCGCCGCTCCCGCTCCCCCCGCCGCCTCCACGATCGACCATTGATTATTTGTTATTTCAACTTTTTCCTTTTTTTTTTTTTTTTTTTTTTTAACCTCATATTAAAACTTTGCGGAGATAAAAGCTGCGGCGCTGCATGCAGTATTTTAATGTTGTTTTTTTTTTGGTTTTTTTTGTTTTTTTTTAAAGAGGTGAAATGTAAAGATAATGCGATTTGATTTGTTAGTCTAACTCCGCGATTTGAGAGTTGATGTCCCCAAAGACCGGGCGAGCTTTTTCCCTTTATTTATTTTTATTAAAACATCAATCTACTCTGGAGCTGGGTGAACTCAGTTTCACCTAGAGAACATAAAATTCTCCATACCAAGGAAATAAGCACCTTTCATAAATCAACAGTATTCCTGACAGATCGATCAATTTTTGGTTGTTAATCCGAAAGGAGGAGTTTTAATTGCTTTCTGCCTTTTAGCCCGGCCACCCCGGCGCGGCGGTTCTGGCAGTGCCCGGCTCTGCCCTCCAGTGCTCGGGAGGGGGGAAAAAAAGCCTGGAGACCCTTCCGCGCCGCCGAGACCCCGCGCAGGGCCGCGCAGAGCCGCGCAGGGCCGGGCACACTCCTGCCGGTAGCGCAGCATCCCCGCCGCGCTGCCTGCGCGCAAGCGGCCGGGACGCGCAAACCCGCGGGCGCAGCCGAGTCCCCTCGCTGCGGGACAGATGCGGGCGCGGAGGGACGCGCAGGGTGTGCGCAGAGGTGGCCGCCCCCGCGCACGGCCCGGCCTGGCCCGGCCCAGGTAAGCGGGCGCTCCGCCACCCGCGCCCCCCGCCCGCTCCCCGTCCCGCACCCCCAGACCCGCGCACGGGCGGCCGCGGGCGCTTACCTTGCGCGGGTGTGCGGGGGGCGCGCGGAGGACAGCGCTCACGGAGGAGGGGGACGCGCGGAGTGTGCGGGAGCTCCCCGCGCTTTAATACACTTCTGGCCCAGCGCAGCGCGGCCGCGGCGCGGGGGGGCCCGGCGGTGCGCGGGGCGCAGCAGTGCGCAAGCGCCCCCCGCGCTCCGCGCTGCGCGGGCGGGGGCAGGCGGGGGGCACGGGGCGCCCGTGGGGGCGGAATCGGCGGCCTCGGCCCCCGGGGGAGCGCGGGGGGCGAGCCCGCACCTCGGCCCGGGCCGGGCCGGGCCGTCCCGCACCGCGTCCCCCTCTCCGCATTCCCCGGGACTGCCCCGCGTCCCGTTCTGTGACTCCGGGGTCCGCATTTCCCCTCTCCCCGCATCCCCCGGGGCTGCCCCGCGCCCCGTCCCGTCCGTTCCGGGACGCCTCGGTACCGCATCCCCCCTCTCCCCGCATCCCCCCGGCCCCGTGTCCACACAGCAAAACGCTCCAGAAACGCAACAGTTTGTCCCGCGGGAGCTGCGACCCCTGGGAATGTCCCGCGTGGGAACTCACCGCTCCTGGCTCCGCGTCCCACGCGGGAGAGGAACTGCCGGCGAGACGCTGGTCACATCTTTACCAACTCTTTTTAATTCCCCCTCTCCAACCGGAGCCGGTGAGCGCCGCCCGCCTCCTCAGCCATACTGGTGCGATACTGGTGCGATACTGGCGGCACTGGGCTCGCAGAACTTCTCAGCTGTGTTGCACTTCGATTTGAGGCGCCGCGGATGCGGCGCGCAAGGAACGCGACTGGCTGGGAGAGAGTTTATTTTGTTTATTCCAGCTCTTCCTTCCCCTCCCTCTCCCAGTTTAGCCCAGGAACTCCTGCAGCATTGGTTAATCCTCGAGGAGGGAGAACTGCTGAGATCTTTAGCGAGCTCTCCCCTACCACGGATACTTCCTAGAGCTCCGGCGTCTCTGTGAGGGATGTACAGCCACGAGATGTGAAGGTATTTAGAAAAAAAAAAAAAAAAAAAAAAAAAGTAGCAGTTTCGAAGTCAGGCAGATTCCTGCTGGGAAGTGAAGCTGGGGTTTAGGAATGGAGCTACATTTATAAAAAATAAACCTATTGGTGTTTGCCTTGGTTATAAATTCAGGGAACATTCACCTCCAGGTTTGTTCTGACAGCAGCTACTCGCCGGTTTGGTTTAATTTGTACAGCGTGAAGGTTTTTAGCAGTTGGGAGAGGAGGGAGGCTGCAGGTGGTGAGGCAGGAGCTTGGACGGGGTGGTTTGGAGGACATCAGAGCCGTGTCTGGGGTGGGTACAGGGACGGTGACCACGGCCAGCCAACACTACCCGTCACCCTGGTGACCATCACAGAGCTTTCAGTTTTTTCTGAGCAGGGGAACCTCGTGGGGTTGTTTCTGCTGTGTTCACCCACGGACAAGCTCAGCTGCTGCTTCAGCACTGGGGAACAGCTCTCTGGATGTACTGGAGGTGTTGAAAGTTGGGAACAGCTCTCTGGATGTACTGGAGGTGTTGAAAGTTGGGATCAGCCCTAGCAATGGCAACACAACCCTGCTGTCCTGATGTGTCCCCACCACAGGTACAGTCTGAGAGGGTGCTTCGGCTCGGTGTTTTGGGAAGGGTTTTTCATGCCTGGCCTGGGGTTTGGAGGGTGGACCTGAGGTCTGGGAATCCAGCAGGAATCACCTGAAAGGGCCTTAGGAGGTCCCACAGGGTAACTGAGGGATCTGGACTTTAACTGTTTTACAACGTCCTGATTACACAGGTTGGTAAATTCAGTTCAGGGGATTCATTCAAGGGAAGTTTATAAATCTGATGCCTAGCAAATTGGAAAATATACAAATTTTTAAAAGTATTCCTGAATGGAAAGGATAAAATGTCTCTGTGGGCTTTGTGAAGTCAGCATGGATGAAACTAGGAGGCAGAGAAAGGGAGAGCCGGTTGCTACCAGGCCTGAGCCCTGTGGATTTCACCCAGTCTAACACCTCCCCACAAACCAAGGAACATTCTGTTGGAAAATAACATGGAATTTGGTTTCATTCACAGTAAATACTTTTTGCATGGAGGCTGAGCTAGTGCCTTATTAAGATAAAAAATTGTTCACAAAATATTTATCAAGCAGATTCCTTGACATCCATGTGATATTCCCCAAGGCAGGTTGTCCATGCAGGTGATGCTCTCCCCAAAACTTTCCCCTTCACACTCCCAAATCAACCTCCCTCTTGTTACAACCCCACAGAAGAGCTGTAAGGCTTGGAAATTAATTGTGTCACTCTCCTCCTATCTCGAGGAGCATCACCAATGCACTTTTTAAACATTTAAAAAGATCATGTATTTTTCACATGCTGATTGTGCTCCTCGGAAAAGAAAGGTTGGTTATGCTCCAGCCTTTTAAATCAACAGTGCTGGGGGTTAAATACTTTAGTGGGAAGTGTCAGGGATGCAAGAGGACATTGACTGAAGCGCTGGCCCCTTCCTTAAGGATCTGTCTTTGTGCTCCGCCCGGAATCCCCCCGGCTCGGAGCCCTCCTGGCAGCAGGGTCGTGGGGTGGGAGGTCACTCGTCGCGTGGCCACGAGTTCAAGATAGAATGTGGCAGCAGGACCCACCAGGGACCACACCAGCCAAAATCACGGCGACTCCTCCTCCAGCAGCCCGAGCGGGCTGTCAGGCGCGCAGGAACGCAGCCACTTCTCCCTCCCTGTCAGGGATTCCAAGAGAAACCAGCAGCGACAGGGAATGTTTGCCTCCAGGCCTGTTTGCCAGTGCAAAAATGTTGCGACCTCCTGATGGAGACAGGTGAGGGAAACGTGAGCGCTCGGAAAAAATAAACAGCGGCGAGAAGAATATCGAATTGAAATAGTGCTATCAGAGAACTCCACCAGCAGACTCTGCTGGAAATTACCCGAGACACCACGGTACAGAACTGCTTCCTTTTCTCGAGGAAAATGATCTAATCAAGATGTATGTGCATGACAATACGCTCGCAGGGAGAGGAAGTTGGAGTTATCTGCTTCAATTACTGCACTTACCCTGTCCCTGTCCTGAAGAAGGAGGCGAATAATAAATATAAACCAGTTTTTTCCAAACTGGGTTGAGTAACTCAGCTCACATTGAGTAGTACAGGAAGTAAGAGAAGGAGAGGTTACGAGGTAAAATATTGTGAATATTTCTGGGGCATGAAATATGGAATGAAATAATAAATATTACATGAAATGCTGACTTGCAGACAGTGGTACCTTGATATCCTACAGGATACAAGGATGTGCCCAGGAGAGAGAACTGTTTGAGAGCTCCTGGCATGAGAAGGGAAATTGGAGAAGGGTTTTGGGACCCCTTAGTTGGCAAATTTATATCATGGAATCAATCATGGAATGGTTTGGGTTGGAAGGGGCCTTGTTCCACCTTCCTGCTACAGGCAGGCACCTTCCACGAGATCCTACCTGTGTCCATCAATATGGGACTGGCTAAACAAATCTTCTCTTTCCCTTGGTCCTGTTTCTGCTCCATGCTCTGCATCCCAGAAGTGGATTGTTGTGCCAATTGTTGGGGCTGGGAGATCCCAAGGCTCAGACACCTTGCTGGAAGAACATCAAGGGCCAAATTCACAGCAGATCATGGATCATGCTCTGCAGCCAGAACCCAAATCAGAAAGGCACCCAGGTGTATCCCACTATTCCAATTACTATTTCCTTTCATTCAGGTTATGTATCGTTACAGCATAAATTATGGAAAGGGCTGGAATTCCTGTTTGAGCAGCTTCATGAAAAACTGAACTTTGACTGAACACAAACAGCAAATAAAGTGGAAAACGAGATAAAAAATGATGCAGGCCTCAGTTTCTTTGAAGGTGAAGTGACTGATCCCAGGTGTCAGCACCTCAGAGACCTGCTCAGGTATGTTTTGAACCCACTAAATAATGGATTTGAGTGTGTTTTCTTTTGTCTGCTTTGTTTTGGGTGGAATTACATCCACAATCTGCTTCTCTGCTGCATTACTAGCAAGGAAGAGTTGTGTTTTGTAGACTGAATTCCGTTCACAATCCAATGCTTGGTTTTTACAAGGCTAAGAGGTTTAATTGCTTGACTAATAGGAATTATGTGTGATAGAGGTAAGAGCTTATTTATTATTTATTGCTTTTATTTTAGGGTAACAGCAGTGAAATTTAGATATGAAATAAGATGCATGTTTTTGAAAAGAAATCCTTATGCCCTGTATGTCAGTACAGAACTGAAGCTGTACAGGCTGACATGACAAATCTGAGAAAACCAGAATTTTGGGCTAATTCCATTAATTCATTAGTGCATCTCTGAATATTAGCAGTGTCAGAAGGTGTTCGCTTCCTGCAGTGCTCCATTCTGGTGACCTGCTAAAAAGTAACACTGAAAATACACTCCACTAGTTTATTTATTTTTGGATTTTTGAAGTGATAGATTTATCTCCTAATTTTGCTCTTGTTTCACAGCCTTTTATACGACTCTTGGACAGTTTATAGACACCAGCTGACACCTGTAAAGTTCACCTGAAGCTGTTCAGAAGTTTAAAACGCCTCATGGCAATTTGTCTGGAACTTTTAATGCACAAAAAGGCAAAAATTGATTAGAGTGGCTGAGGAACTCTTCTGTCCTGTCTTTATAAAGTGGATGTAAACCTGTCAGCTTTTACAGCTGTCCTCACGCTGCTTCAACTAAACATATATTTGGAGAGGAGATCTGGCATTTCTCTGCCAGCCCAGAGTCCTGCTGCTCCTGGTGCCAGGTCCAGAGCAGGGATGGGGTGTGAGGTAGCTTCTGCAGCATCAGCAGCTTCATCAACATCAATGGCATAAGCACAATCAGCATCTTCATTCCTTCCTGGCACTTCACCTGTGGCCACGTGCTGGTTTTTAATTTTATTTAACTTAATACATTCAAATCAACAAAAATAAAATAAATAGGAAAGAGAACCCCAGCCTGG